ATTGGTATTTCAGGTGGCAAATAAATCAAACAGCCATCCCAGGTCCCTGCACTTCAAAGCATCTCCTGCAGAATGAAGAAGTGCTTGAGCCTCTATGTCGGATTGCTTCCTACCACAGGAATCCCACAGGGATGTTGTAACGCGTTCTTTGCTTGGCAAATCTGAAATGATTACTCACACATGCTCATTTCATTAAGTAGCAGCTAATTACTTCCTATGTACCAGATAGAAAGGCACATCACAGCTACAAGACTGATCAGTAGATCTGGGAGAAAATATTTGTGCTGCTTGGAACGTAGTTTCACCTTTTATTGAAAGAGTCTTTCTCACAGATCCAGTGCCTGGAGCAGAGACTCCAGCAGTTCACACCACCCTCCCAGGAAGAGGGCAGCAGAGCCTGCAGATGTGGCCAGTGCAGGGTGTAGCCTACCATTCTCTCCTCCCCTTGGTTTTCCTCCCCCAGGAACCTTTTTCTGCTTTTCTTTTTGCCTCTAGGTGAGCTCTGGATGCCCTTCTCAGCAGCTCTCCAGATTTAATAAGCTCTAAGCCTCAGCAAATCCCAGCTGGTAAGAGGAGGAGCTGCTTGTTTCACCTGTCTGCGTCTTGAGGAGAAGGAAGACAATTCATCCCTGCAGGACTAGCTCAGTACAATATTGCTAGTTTTCTTCCTGGCTTTCCGTCAGATTCACACTGTGGCGAGACAGACTCTCTGGGATAAGCCAGGATTTTCTGTGTAATTCCAAAGGAGGAACGAGTTAATTATATTATAAAAGTTTCAAATGCTATTTCCAAAGGCGATACAAGATTGGCTGGAACACTGCCTACCTGTATAAAATCCTGCCATATGATACATACTCCAATTCCAGGGCTTGCACTGAGTCTTTGTTAAAAATAAATCATGCGTCATGCTGCTAATGTACTTCTTGGTTCAGTGATAACTAGTCACCACTGGTGAGGCTTTAAGATCAGACAAAGAGCTTTTAACTGGAAAACAGGATTGAGCAATAGGTGGGAGTTGTCTTCTATTTTAGTTTTTTACTGTACCTCAGTGTAACATAATAAAATTGAAGGCAGTCAGGCTACTAAGAAGGGATTTTTTTTTATAGTGTTTCAAAATACCACAAAAATTGCAGAAACCCAAGAAGTATTAAAGAGGTTTGGTTACAATAGGTGTATTGGCACATGTCTGTAATTTCTAGGTAGAGCCATCCAGTAATAATTGGCTGAATTTCATGTATCTTTTTCTCAAGTACTGGTTCTTACTTTGGCTCTGATTTCCACATCCCTCACTTCTTACCCTTACATCTTTCTGGCAACCAACATTTTCAGCTATCCCAAATTCTCTGGGTTGTGGTTTAACCCCAGCCGGCAACCAAGCACCAGGCGGCCACTCGCTTGCTTCCCCCTAGTGGGATGGGGGAGGGAATTGGAAGGGTAAAAGTGAGAAAACTCATGGGTTGAGATAAAGACAGTCTAACAGGTAAAGCAAAAGCTGTGCACACAGGCAAAGCCAAACAAGGAATTCATTCACTGTTTCCCATCGGCAGGCAGGTGTTCAGCCACCTCCAGGAAAGGAGGGCTCCATCATGTGTAATGCTTACTGGGGAAGACAAACATCATCACTCCGAGCATCCCCTTCCTTTTTATTCCCCCAGCTTTATATACTGACCATGATGTCATACGGTATGTAATATCCCTTTCAGTCACTTGGGGTCAGCTGTCCCAGATGTGTCTCCTCCCAACTTCTTGTGCACACCTGGACTACTTGCTAGTAGGGTGGTGTGAGGAGCAGAAGAGGCCTTGACTGTGTAAGCACTGCTCAGCCATAGCTAAAGCATCCCCATGTTATCAACACTGTTTTGGTCACAAATCCAAAACATAGTCCCACACTAGCTACTGTGAATAAAATTAATGCTGCCCCAGCTAAAACCAGCACATTCTGCATCCCTTACTCCATATCATTTACAACATGCTTAGGTCCCCCATTATCCAATACAACCTCATTAACCACCTCCTCCCCACCTTCCTATCCTTTGATAATATACACTGATATCATTCCCCTAGTCTATGGACACCCCTGTAAAATCACAGAATCACTGAATTATCAGAGCTGGAAGGGACCTCTAGAGATAATCTGGTCCAACTCCCCTGCTAAAGCAGGATTGCCCGGAGCACATCACTCAGAACTGCATCCAGGTGGGTCTTGAAGATCTCCAGAGAAAGGGACTCCACGACCTCCCTGGGCAGCCTGTTCCAGGGCTCTGTCACCCTCACTGTAGAGAAGTTTTTCCTCATATTTGAATGGAACTTCCTATGTTCCAGCTTGTGCCCGTTGCCCCTCGTCCTCTCACTGGGAACCACTGAAAAGAGTCTGGCTCCATCCTCCTTCAAATGTTCATTAAATGTTCACAAGTGTCACAAAAATGTCCTTTCCATGGGGTACAGTCCTTTGGGCGTCCACGTGCTCTGGCGTGGGATCCTCCAGGGGCACTGCTCAGCAGTAACTAAAACACCTCTGTGTTACCAGCACTGTTTCCAGCACAAACCCAAAACACAGCCCCACGCTATGAAGAAAATTAATTCTACCCCAGCCAAAACCAGCACACTCTGCCAGTAACATTCAATTGAAAATTGTGTTTGAATGCAGACACTGTCTTCAGGAGGTTTACAACGGAGATGGTCAGGGAAATCTGGAAGCAGCACCAGAAAAAGCAGCTGATCTGCGGAGTACTTTTAATGAGATAATAACAGAAAGCCCTCCTGCACTTTGGTCCGTACAAACCAGATGCCAGCAAACCATTGCCTGGGGTTTTGTTTGAGCTAGGTATTCCTGGGCAACTGTTTCCTGCACAAACATTAAAAAAAAAAAAAAAAAGGAAAAGCAGTAAATGTTACAGGCTGGAACGACCACAGACAAATCATCTGTTCTGTCTGCTGACAAAGAAATGACACTCATGGCCGTTTGCTGCTGAAGCAACATCCAGGGGCAGAGGCCCTGGCAGAGGCGGGGAGAGGGAGGAATGGTGCCATGGACAAACTGCTGAAAAGCAGAGTGAAAGCTGCAGGTCGCCAAATTGGCTTTTTGAAAGAGGTGGTTGCTGGTAAGGGGCAGAAAAACATTAAATGAAGCAATTACACAGAACTAAGGAAGCTTTTTCAGATGGAGGCTGAAACTGAGATTTTGCAAGGAAAACTGATGGCAAAAAGTTATTTCATTCCTTAAGTAAGAGGGAAACAATTTAAGTGGTTTCTGTATTAAGGTGGAACTTGGTGAATTAATGAAAACTGCGTGTTTGATGTGGTGCTTGAAGGACTTACTGAAGATACATATACACATTCAGCAAGACTGGGGCAGAAACAATACAAAGATTTAGAAATAAGGTAGAACATTTTAAATTAAAAAATTAAAATGATGAGCCACCAATGTCTCCTTGTAGAAAGAAGGTAAGCATCATCTTGTGCTGCATTAGCGCAGACTGAGAGAGCTGAGCCTTCCCCCCTGCTCACCCCTGGTGAGATACATCTGGAATTCTGGGTCCAGCGCTGGGCTCCCCACTACGAGACATGGTCACACTGGAGCGCAGGGACCCAAAGGTGTTTAAGGTGTTAAAGGTGTTTAAGGGACCAGGGTCCCTGACATAAGAGGGGAGGTGGAGAGAGCTGGGACTGCTCAGCCTGGAGAAGAGAAGGCTCAGGGGGATTTGTCCATTTGCATAAATACCTGATGGGGGGAGTAAACACAACAGACTCTTCTCAGTGGTGTGCAGTGACAGGATGACAAGTAATGGACACAAACTGAAATACAATAATTTATATTTTTCTTTAAATTGTTTGTCTTTTGTTTTGTGTTAGGTAGTTGACATCTTTAATGACTTGGTAAAGATATTTATTAGGAAAAAACTAGATGAATCACCAGGAATTAGAGATGTTTAGCATTTGTGACATTCCTAATTTTTTTTGTCTTGTATCACACCAAGCTGCACAAACATCATTACTTGCAACACAGAAACTGTAACTTAGAAATTATAGTGACCCTACAGACATTTGTATCATCATCAAACTGAGGAGCCATTCATGCTAAGTCAGCAAAATAAAATAATAGTAGAAGTTTGTAAAATAATTATACACACCCAGACGCCGTGATAAGAAAAGTAGCGCTTAGCTTCAGAGCATAATTCACATTCTGCTATGGATTTACTGTTTCAAGTAACTAGGAAATATTTCACAACATCCCTGACTCACCCATGTGTGACACATGATGCAATCAATGGTCACAGAAATTTGCATCTAGCCCTGTACCAGAACCCAGTACTTTGAACTCCATATTATTATGCCCAGGCAAAACGCAGGATTAAGGCTGCTCACTGCCCTTAAAGCAGGTTGTTTGCTTATCACTCACAGACTCTGGACTGCAGAGAAAAGTGATCATATTATAATGTTCTCTGGTAGCCCTGAGGACCGCTAGGGTATGACTGCTAAGGTCAAGAGTGTAAATAGAAGACGTGATCTCTGATGACTACCCTGAAGGGTTCGACTTATTTTTTAACTGAAGTGTTTGAATAAGTTACATCATTCTAAAGAAACAACATATCTCTGTATCTCCCCAGTGACATCCCACAACTTCTCCACAGAGCCAGCTGTATCTCCAGCTTGAAGCATGAGCTCTCCTGAAGAGCAGAAGCTGCTTGGTCACTGCCTTGCTGCCCTTTCAGCTACGGTTAAGGAGAGGACAGAGAAGAGATAACTTCAGCCATTCTGTGGTTGCTTTCCTGCCGAGCAATGTGACCTCGGGGAAGAACTGATCAGGTCTTACCAGCTCTGCATAGCAATTGAAGGGCACTTCCCATCAAACACTCAGCTCTTAGAGCAGCCCAGGAAAGAGGAAAAACTACCAGCACCCTGATTCACAGAATCTGAATCTGCCTCAAAGTGCCTAAGTTATCTCCTTTGTTATTTTAAGTGGTAAATTGAATTCCTTATGATTAGGAGGTTGGACATACCTCTTAAATGGTGAAATGTTTGCTAATGTGATGAACACCAGCCTGAAATGAGGAACAGTGGGTGTCTTTGTAATGCACTGGGGAGGGAACTTTGTCCTGTATATCCTGTAGAAAAAACGATTGTTATGAAACCATTTGGGAATTGATAACCTCTTTTACCTGTAGACTGCAAAAAATCATTATTTTACTTTTTTTTTTTCAATTTTCCAGTCCTCAGGCCCGCAACTACAGAAGATTACTGGACTCATCTGCTGCAGGCAGCCTGGCTTATGTTTAAAGGCACAAAGGTGAGAGGAGGTGGCTCTTGAGATTTTCATTAGTGAGATAAGACATAGAATCATAGAATTATTTAGGTTGGAAAAGACCTTTAAGATCATTGAGTCCAACCATAAACATAACGCTGCCAAGTCCACCGCTAAGCTATCTCCCCAAGTTCCACATCTACACATTTTTTAAATACCTCAAGGGACAGTGACTCAACCACTTCCCTGGGCAGCCTGTTCCAGTGCTTGATAACCTTCTTGGTGAAGAAATTTTCCCTAATATCCAGTCTAAACCTTCACTGACACAACTTGAGGCTGTTTCCTCTCTCTCATCCTATCACATATTTTATAAGATTTGCTAAGAAATGGACACCCCACCCTTGAACTGCTTCTTTGGCAGAGCACATTCCAGTTCCTCATTCTTTACCTCCTGAGGTAAATGAACTGAGCATTGTTCATAAAATTATAGACCAAACATTCCCACGACTAGTGAAATTTCTTATAAAAAAATCCCTGAACTCAAGTCAACAAAAGAGAGGCAGAGCGACTCGCTAACAAATACCGTTTCCACACACCAGCCACTCTACGTGCAGAAGGACATGACACAGTCAGGGAAAATAGCTTCTCACCTTTCTTCTACAACAGCCTCTTCCTCAGTGAATGAGTGTGTATCAGATTTCTCTGGAAGGCTGGCTGTTTAAAGTTTACCTGGTGAGGGTTTTTTGCATAACCAAAGGATAGTCTGTAGGGTGTTTCTTTCAGGAGATATTTTCTGTAAAACAGTATAAATCTGATCTTCAAATTTGATGGGACCAGCCTGGAGAAAAGCTAATATTCCAAGCTAAAAAAAACTTCTCATAGTTAATCCATTTTGATTAAAAAATCTTTCCTTTATTTGCCAAAATATATAGCTCTGAACTGACTTTAAGGCATCTGAAATGTTCAGCCGTTAATTCCGTTATGCAATTCTTAAATCCTTCCTCTCCTGCCAAGCAAGCTGTCATGAGAAATATGCTTTGTTAGATGGGATCACCTGTTTCACATACACAGGCTCAGTTGTCAAAATGATAAAAAGGAAAGCCTTCTGCTGACGTGTATAAGGAAAACATAGCATTTCAGTCACAGAAGAGCTCTTTGTTTTATATCAGGCTTCTAATTATTACAAAATTTGGAAGAGGATGAGGCAAAAAAAAAAAAAAGAATTAGACTTCCAGGAGAAGGTACAAAAAAAAATCCTTTTATTTGGATGTTGCTTCCTCTGGAAACTACAGAAATAGCATAACTGAATCTCTATGAAAAAAAGACTTAAGAGGGTAATGAAATAACCTCTCCCAATCTAAAATATTACATGAAAACTAATGACATTAAGCTCTTAGAAAACCACTTACTACTTCAGGCTGTTCGATATATTGTGGTATTGTTTTAATATATCTGAAAATATTATATTATTATACAAAACTTTATATATGTTTGTATTACATATATATAAGACATTTACTAAATCATATATATTACATACATATGTAATAATTATAATTATTTAGTGTTATTACCAGCTATTTTCAAAGTTCACATCATGCTTTAAAATATTCTTATGAATTAATTAGAACTGTACTTCCTTATATTTCAAATGCCTCTGAGATTTCTAATACTCTCTGTCCTCTTTCGTTTTAGCAGATTCACATGCTCCACCATTAATCATCTGAGAACTTTGTACAACATACACCATGGAAGTAGCCTTTTGTTTACTAACTGTTTATCTTGTTTACAAAAGTACAGCAAATAAAGATAGTAAGCAAAGATAAGATATCCAGAAAAAATGTATTTTGATGTTAAAATTTTAATCTATGTTCTTTCTTAAGTAAGCATTGACAAAGCAAAGCAAACACAAACACACGCACACATAAACATCAAGCACGTTTTAGGGCATCCACAGGAGAAACGCACGTCGTCTTTCCTTCCTAAATTCACTGCAAAAAAGTCCTTTGACTGCAGGGGGAGCAAGAATTTTCCCAAAGTGTTTTTGAAACATTCGGCTGTGGTGCACTCACTGTGCAGTGTCTTGGCCACTAGCCAGGTAACTATTTCTGCGTAGAACAGAAAGAATCAACTACATTTATAGCATAGGAAATCAAACTGAGCAGTGTGTTGCCTCAGGCTGACTCCCTGCCTCAAACAATATGGTAGAAATGAATGTATACAAGAGTCTAAAGTTAGTGATTACATTTCTTTGTATTATTATGCCAAAACTCAGGCTGCCTCAAACAATATGGTAGAAATGAATGTATACAAGAGTCTAAAGTTAGTGATTACATTTCTTTGTATTATTATGCCAAAAATGTAATATCGTACAGAATGAACAGTCAGCTATGAATTTATTGTAGAATAGTAGGAACCTTATAATGTCATTAGAAAGACAATTTTTCTACCTCTGCAGTAAGTAGATGAATTTTATCACTGCTACAGTGTTGATCATCATCTGAATTTCTAGCCTTACGACTTTATCTATGCCCTTATTATCTTTTGTCCTAATAGACTCACTAAGGAATTTATACAGACAAATCACTCTTTTGTAGTCATCAGAATGTTATTAAACTGCATAGAAGAATCAACTCAGCTTCTAGAAGTTAATGTACTCACAGGATGACTCACAAACAAGGCAGCTGGAGCAGTTTCAATCCTAGCTCTCAACTCTGCCCCGAAGGAGCTTCTGCTCCTGCAGAAGTGTGTTGTGCCTGGAGAGAACCAAATGCCTATGAATAAGCTGTTCCGATAATGGACCAAGAGCATTACTGGAATTAGACAGAAGTTAATAACAAGTAGCTGCAATATGAATATATAAGTACATTCTGTTAGCGAACCACTTCTGGGTAGACTGAAATGTCAAAGACCCTGGAATATGAGGGAATAATATGACTACGGTGTGCTGCAGTTATCAGGAACTTACCTCGGGAAACATGAGCAGGAAATTATGCTTTGAAGTACATTAAAGAAAAACAGAAACCTGCCGCTGCAGAACCATGCAGCCAGTCTATAAGATTCACATAATTTGACCACGTACAGAAACTGCATAATAACCTGTTGAAATAGCCATAACTGATAGCACTCATGGAGCCATCTCCAGGTTGGATATATAAACCTGTAACAAACACCTCCTGTTGCACAAGCATCTGTGCTTCAGAATCCTGTATGCAAATCTGACCACTCCGGTTGCCTGCAAGGCTACATACCTCAGTGTTCCCTTATGGTCACCCCAGGGAAACACACCCTTTGTGTTTGCCTCTGGTCCAGCATCCTGTCCTTCAGGCTCGGCTGTAATCCCGCCGGCTCTGACAGAAGCGGGTGTTAACACTAACATTGCCCTGGGTTTCCTGGGCTACGGCAGGCTGGCTCCTCTGCTGGGTCAGGACCATGTGGTGAGCAGGTCATCCTTGCCTTCCAGTAAAGGAGCAGGAATGGCTGAACCGGTCACTGTTTCAGATGAGCAATTTTCTTCTTTTTGTGTGTTGTGCTCCTCCACCATTGCACCAGGAAAGCGCATTCTCTAGATTAGCTGACCCTTTACTGTGAGGGTGGTGGAGCACTGGAACAGGTTGCCCAGGGAGGTGGTTGAGGCCCCATCCCTGGAGATATTCAAGGAGAGGCTCGATGAAGCCCTGGGCAACCTGGTCTAGTTGGGGGTGTCCCTGCTGACTGCGGGGAGGTCGGACTAGATGACCTTTGGAGGTCCCTTCCAGCCTGGGCAATTCTATGATTCTATGATTCTATGATTCTATAAGTAACGCTTAAGATATGTAGTCTCTGCAGATGCTCAGAAAGCTCACAATAAATTATCGAAATGTCAAATTCAGTCTTTGAAGATCAGTCCACGTATCCACTTCCTCTTTGAGTGACTGGGCTTTTTGCCCTAATGATATCTACTAGATATGTTTCAACTTTCTCATGCTCTCCTCAGGATTTGTACGGCTTTTTTTACCTCATAACCTCAGCTGTACTCTGCTGCTGAAGAGCGCTTTTTTCTTGGGCAGCTTCATTAATATCTTCACTGATAGCTTGGTTAGCTTTCTTCCTGCCTTTTTCTTGTAGTTTATTTTAGTTGATTCCACCTGAGAGTTTCTTCTTTTTGAGCTGGGTTTTTTTCCCCCATACACATACCTTTGGGGTTCTGCTTCAGCAATCCCAGAAAGAAATATATGCAATCTTCCAAATTCCTTTCAAATCTTATTCAATTCCCAATTCAAACACGTCAAGGCATCTTTTACGAAGTTCAAACATGTTGGTGTTCATTTTGGTGTCCCTGGTGAGCTACATTTGCCAGTTTACAAAGCAAATGAGTTTTCTGACTCAGGAAGAAACTCGTGCATTGTATGTGTCTGTCTCTGTTCCTTTGCACCTAGGACACTCCAAAATGGAAAGTGCAAGCTTCAGGAATAGCTCCTGCTGGTGTGTGCCATCACGTCAGTGTCAGACCTTGGCATCAGAAAGGACCCATTACTCTGAATCACTCTTTTTGTACCCTGGTCTCCGGAAGCGTCAGTCAAACTGAGACCTCCTCATCTGACATGTCCTTCCACAATTCCTCCCAATTCTTGACTGTCGACTGAAGATGTCTAAGGAAATTTGGTTTCTCAATATCCAGTTGCCAATTCAGGAGGTTCTAGGTTAGTCTTAAAAGCTCTTCACCAATAACTGCAAGGCCTTGAAGAAGTAAAAAAAGAAAAGAAGATCTGTGCGCTTGGCTAGATTCAGCCCCAGAACTGTTTACAGCTCCTGCCACATCAGCTAGTACTGCTGAAAGAAATAATTTTTTAAAAAGGTTAGTATGAAGAAAACCTTTAAGGTTTTCTGCAGGACTCAGTCTCCAGGTGTCCTTTAGAATCACACTCGAAACTTTACATCTCTCAGTCCATCCTTTTAGGAAAGTACTCACACTGCTCCTTTTGGAAAGGGAAGGCTATGGAGCAGGGTTACTCCTGACATCAAGGCTAGGACTGTCCAATGTTCTCCTCTTCCTAGAACCCAAACTCCATCAGAGCAGGGATGCTTCTCACACAAGATGTTCTCCCTCTTCTGTCCTGACAGTGGTGGTCATTGGTCCCAGATTCTGCGAACTGTCTTATTCTGCGCTTCTAAACACTGCTTTTTTATTTCATGAAAATGGCCCATTTATCCCCAATATCAGCCAGAAAAGATTCCTCACCCTACATACAGAATCCCTAGATTCACAACATAAATTCAGGCTGTTTTCATAATCTCTTGTAGAAGGTATTTACAAATGTTATGGTACTGCTGGAGGAGTCAGGAACACTGAACAAGGTTTATAAGATGATATCCAACACCCAATCTCTCCAGAATGTCTTGACCTAGAAATCTGTCTCCACTGGACTCTTCTTACCTACTTGGTGATCTTCTGCAGAAGTAATGGACTGGACATATCAGGTTCTTGCTGGGACCACAGAGTTTTTGTTTAAATACCCACCCTCTTATTTAATTTAGCAAAATAGCTACAAAACTCCAAAATATATAAAATGGTTAGAGCCTTAAAAACAGGGGAAGTTTTAATCTGGCAGCAACTCTTAAGTCTGGGTTATCCAATTACTATATCAATCTTTGCTCCTAGGCCTTCATTCCTTTATTTTGAAACATCTGTGTGGGTTATATACTTGTTTAACTATTAATCTAATAGCAATTTCTACCCATTCCTCCGCT